ATCTCGATACATGTCGATACATATTGCCACGTGATATCTATATATCACAAACCCAAAAGCAAGTTTAATTCAATGTAAAAATGTTAAATATATGTCTGTGTAGTATGTATTAAATTTGGGGGGAAAAAGTATAAACTCGATGTCAAAACTGTTTGAAATTTTAATGACGAATTCGGTCAAAATATCAATATAATATCTCCACTGTGTGCTAGAGTTGTCGTTTGTTTGATATGCCTGTTGTATTCATGTACATGTATGTGCAAGTACAGATTGTAATAAGTTAAAACACCCTTTTTTTCATTTCAGTTGCAATCACATCGTGTGCTCGTGCGACTCATACATATGATGGTAGTGAGATAATAAAATTCAGTGGTGTGAAACTGTCAAACGGAATTAAAAACGTGAAAAAATTCACATCTTCAGGGATATTCACGTGTGAAAAACAAGGAATCTATTTAGTTGGGGTGTATATTTTGTCGTATACCCGATATGCTGGCTTTGAAATAATGAAAAACGGAATGATTGTAAGCCGTGTATATGTCAGACCAGCCTTAAGATCTACAGAGGATGATCATCACACAGGAACAGGAATCATAGCTGTTCAATTGAATGCAAATGATACTTTAAATATCAAAGCAGGTTATAGAAAAATGCAAGTGTATGGACGTAAATTTTCATGCTTGACTGTTATCAAAGTGAACTAAATGTGTCATTCATTAATATCAATTACGACCTAATTCTAACTATATTCACTTTTTGTTGCACTTTTTGTTTCGATTATAGATTTATATGATCATTTCTTTTGTTTTTGTAAAAATGATGAATTATTGAAAGAGCCTGGATTTCATATATTAAGGTCTGAGTGTTCCTGATGAAGGTAAATCCAGAAAAGCGATTTTAATCAAATTTAAAAAGGAATGTTTATTATCAACACTAACAATTACTTATTGTTTTTCACCTGTGGTTGGTTTATTACAGTAAAAACAACCGTTGTGTTTTGTTGATAAATAATACATGATGTGCGAATTGTATTCATTTGAGACCCCTTTACATCATGTACATGATCGGTAAATATCATAGAATTGCACATATTAAAGTCGTTGATCTTTATTTTAATTTTGATCTTTCTATGAGGTACACATTGTAAGTGCTTTTTGTCGATTTAATGAGTAAATACTTTAACAAGTAATCTCATACAGTTCTAATGGTGTTGTGTAACATGTATTAGGTGAGTTTTGAGCGCTCGCGAGTATGTTAGGTATGTGCCTATCCCAACTCAGGAATCTGTTATTCACGGTTTTCTTTGATTGTTATTTATGAAAATTGCTCGTCATTTATTTTTGTGTACATTATTCAGAGCGTTAGTTTTCTAGATTGAAATCAGAATGGGTAGTACATTCCGATGAAATCATGAAAATTAATCGTTGCATCACCTTCACCAACAAAACTTATAGTGTAGAGTGCTGTGATCACTGCATATAATTTGGTTACCATTGCATGAAATGTTCCAAGAACTGCATATGATGTGGTCACATACGCTATTTCACACCGACATTTGAATAATTATAATCACGATAATCAGGAACTTTTTCATATATTTCATCTTTAGTTATCAACCTAATGATATATGACGACGCATGAAAAAGGTGACTTATTCCAAAGGACCATCCCTACCACTCTTAACATAGTAAGTGCCCCTCTCCACCCCTCCCCGACCCCACTGAGGGCAGGTTCGTTTGTCTCTAATCTACAATATACCATGATTGTCTCTCAACCTAGGAGACACTCAAGATCAACACGCCCTTACAATGTTCCAGCCTGTCATAAGGGTCTCTATGGGATTTGCAAAAAATAGAAAAGTGGACTAATACTATAGAAAAAAGACCGAAAATGTTTTAGAGAATAGTGGTATGTTAAATGTAAGAGTATAGACAAATGGGGAATACTATAAAGAATAAAGAAAAATTACAAAAAAAATTAAGAATAAAGAAAAGATGGATCCCCCACCCAGACCCTCTGTTATATTTCGGCAACTTTATAATCGTTAAAGTACAATCATATCGTAACTGATTTGAATTCCACTATTAAACTGAATATCATAACAGACACATACAAAATATACACCCTATTTGTGACAGATCATTGGTTAGATAAAAATGTGCAGACAAAAATATCTCGTGAGAGATTAAAAAAATAATCGTCAGAGAGAAAAAAAAATCGTCAGAGAGAAAAAGATAATCGTGAATATGGTGTTAATCACTATTAGCAATTTTAAAGTGGAACTTGAGAAGCGAGTTTTATTTCACATCCATGGATTTTATATATTCGATATTGAACGTTTCCGATGAAGGTAAATCCAGGAAGCTTACATCTAAAGTTTTGTTTACTTTTTTTTAATATACAAGCATTCATTACAATAGTATATTATAATACTGCAACAGTTGATACACTATGGGATCAAACTCAGTCACAATGTTCGTTCAAATGCGCATGGTCCATTACCAGCATACCAAAATATTGCAACGAGTTTACAAGTGATTACTACACTTTTCAAACGCTACATTTAAAACAACTAAATCACATGTATGCGCGAGTGTCATCACAAATTAACGAACGATTTCACATTAAAACTCGAGATGAGTATGAAAAAATTATATTCAATAAACAAAAAATATAACTCGATATTAAGCAAACAATAGACAGGAACAAATTATACATACGTCAGAAGGAAATATTATAAAGAAGAACATTAAAATGTGATATTTTTATTTGAAGAGTTCGATAAAACATTTCTAATAGATAAAAACCGAATTCAAATGTACACACACATGAAGAAAACACTATCACGAAATAGAGATATAACAGTCAAAGGTCAATATTTGATAGTTCAATACTATCATTCACTAGAAACGAAAGTAAATTGTAGTGAATATCCCCGTGGACAATAAAATGTCAGGTAAAACAAGAATTATATAACTGCTTTTTATATATTTTCAATAGTCATTGTATCCTGTTTTCTAAAAGAACCGTGTCAACGCACATGAATTATATATTTGTATTCGTTTATTAACAACGATAAGTGAAACAAAAATGAGTTTAGTGCTAAACTAATCTTTTTATTGTATTAAATTATAACTATGGGCACATACTTGTATTACCGGCTGATTAAATGTAAGTGTAATTTTGTTTTATTTTAACGTGCCAAAAAGCTAGGTAAAACAAAAAGAGAGAAGGCCAGGGTGAGGAACTCCCATCCGAAGGTTTTGTGACAGTGTGATGATACAACATTCCTTCAAAAACACATTCCTGAAAAATACCATAAAGTTCTTTCACTTCACTTCGAAATAAAAGAAAGATTGACAGGTCGAGTTCGATTTTCTGTTATTGTTCGAGTTGACGTTCATCTTCTATGTTTTTTTCATTAATTTGCCCCGTAAATTTCAACAATTGACTGAATCGCAATCTCGGCAAATATCATTAATATGAAAATTCCATCAAAGGGTTATTACATATTATGTGTGTTTAATATCCTGAAATGAATGAAAATATAAAGAAAAAAACAATGTGAACGAAAGAAAAATATGAACGTTTAAATACAAACATGGTAAAAAATTAATCGCGAATATAATTTTCAATTAAATTCAATATATAAAAAAAAAGTTCTAGCAAAAGTACTGAACTTAAATGTAAATTCAATAATGGAGAAGAAACCTGAAAAAATAAAATATTCGACTATATCAACGACCGGACGAACACATCTCTATTCAAAACCTAGGTAAATGTACTCGTATATTTTATTATACGCAATATATTTTATTACAGTGTACTATTTTAGCGGACTTTCTGGTAGTAAAAATGTCAGATATCAGTTGTTTTGAATGTACGAAATATGAATCACGTCAAATATTTCCTCACCGACATTCCAAAAAGATAAATTAAGAAGGAAACAAAGCAAAAATAGTTTTAAACAATATTTCCTCATAAAATTATTTCAAAGAAGAAGTCTCGAAATTACAAATTGAAAAGATAAACATTTTTTATTAGGAAAATGACTAAAACGACTTTATCATGTTTATATAGCCAATCAGAGTGATGAATACAGTCAGATGATATCATTAAAAGGCGACATTTTATATACACTTGCGTTCTATCGAACAAGAACAATACCAGCTAGGTTCTGAGTACAAGTAATTGAAGTTCATGTTCTGATTTTACTTTGTTCCTTAAAGCTTATCATTTTGATATTCGAATTGTCTGAACAGTACTGAAATTTCCGTAGTTGATAATCTGCAAATTGACAGAAAGACTTTAAATGACTTAATAATTCATTAATTTGCCATTGCTAGTGCCTGTTCTAGTCTCGGACACACCGGATAGAGTATATAAGCTTGAAACTTTAATTACATTTATTACTTCGGATTGACATACCTTAATTTGTTAAACAAAACGAGAGGCGAAAGATACGAAAGTGACATTTAAACTTAAGAAACGACCATTTAACTTCAAAAAGGGGGGGGGGTATATACAATACATATCAATGAATTAAGTTGTATTTCAGAACCAGCGATTATTGATATGTATTATAGAACTTGTATTATAGAACTTACCCTTGCCATGCGTTGTTATTTGTTTTCGACTTATAAGGGAGCAACCATTTAACTTCAAGGGGGGAGGGGGAGGGCGGTTATGGTTTTGTTTCCTAAAAAAAAAATTCTGATCCCCAACTTGATGAAAAAAATATTGTGGTAAAGCAGATGACAAAAAAATATTCTGAATCCAAATTTTCCCCATACCTTATAGTGTTAAACTTGAAACAAATAATTTGATTGATAGCGTCGAAAAAGTAAAAACAAATGTTCGAGCTCTGACTCAGACAAAAAACATTACCCCTCCCCCTCCTTGAAGTTAAATGGTTGCTGCCTTATAAGACGAAAACAAATAACAACGCCATGGCAAGTGTAAGTCTTATAATACATATCAATAAATTAAGTTTTATTTCAGAACCAGCGACACATGATGCATCAATATATCTATATCAATATATGTGTCAGAATATTGTTGGAACAGAAGGGCATGTAAAAACTATCAGAATGATGAACTCTATTAGAGACAATTTATCGAGTCAAGATTATTTGACAAAAATAACCAGTGGCAGCTTTGGCGAGGGACTGGAGATGCGAGGAAGTGATATAGATATTATGTATGTTAGCAAATGTGCTGAGGTTTGTGAAAGCACAAACACTTATTTTAATCCTGCTAAAACGTATTTTACAATGGCGACAGGAGACACACACCCAGGCTTCACTCATTTACGTCTAGTACATAGCAATGATCATAGCGTCTTTAGATTATGCGAGATGAATGAAGGTTATTTGTACTTTTCAAACATAAGATTAAAAGAACGTATATTGCACAAGCGCACTCCGTTCATCCACGGTCCTTGCATGTCAGACAAAAATGGGGAATATGATATTGCATACTGCTTACATAGTAAGTTGTGGACAACACAGGCAAAACAATGGATGACACGATCACATACCGCATGGCCAGGGTACGATGTTAAACAATCTATTCTTAGACATGGCGTTCTCTTTGTACCAATAGGTGTTAAAGGATCTATTAAAGAAGATTTAGAATGGCGAATATCGTTTTCCGTTGGAGAAAAACTTCTAATCATTACATTTACACATGCACAATTACTTTGCTATGCTCTTATGAAAATTCTTCTCAAAGATGTAATAGATATTGACATAGATTGTAAAGATTTACTTTGCTCATATTTCATAAAAACAATTCTTTTTTGGATTTCGGAGGAAGTTTCAATTGCAATTTGGAGACCCGAAAACTTAATAAAAAATTTTATGAGATGTTTAAGGAGACTAATATACTGTGTTGAATACTTAGTCTGTCCCCATTACTTTATTCCTGACAATAACTTATTTGAGAATAAGATTAAAGGAAACGCACAGAAAATTCTCTTAAATAAGCTGAATGTTTTGAATAATTATGGTTGGCATTGTATCGCATTTTCAAAACAAATCCCTAACTTCCATGAATTAGCATTCTGCATTAAAAAAGGGCAAATTAATTTATATGTCAATAATCTTAAACAATTATTATTTTCAAAAATGATTTTTGCGGATATTCAATCTTCGTCCTGTAATTTTTTGTTGAAAAAAGTTATACACATAGTATTATCTACAAAGAATTCCAAAATAAAACAACTTTACTTGTACTATATTTCAAAGAAGTGTTGCTTGCTTGACAAATTACAAGGATTTAAGGATGTTTCTGGTAATAAATATACATATACACAATACAATACCTGTATAAGTTCTTTGCTACGAAACATACGCCATAATGCTATTACTGGATGGCTGAAGTTAGCTTCGTTTTTCTATCATACAGAACAGCACACAAAAGCCATTGACCTTCTTCAATATTCTCTACTAAAATGTTCATCGGAAAAACTTTACCCGTTCATGAATTTGTTGCATATTCATTATGATTTATTCAGTTTGTATTTGTTTCGGCAGATGCCTGTGGTTCTTTTGTTTAAATATCTGCTATTAGATCAAGTGGTGTTTCTTGCAAATTCTATGTTGATACCGGAAGAATTAAGAAAGGTAGAAAAAACTACTCCGTGTATAATACCGCCAGTAGTATTTACGCATGTTCTTCCATTTCTATGCCATTATCATCTAAACGATTCCAAAAAATGCCGTAATTCTCTCCGAGATTTACAAGTTACTATAGGAGAAAAGTATTTTATAGCATGTTCCTATCAAGAGGCTATATCATACAACATCCTAGGAATAGCTTATCAGTTAGTAGGTGATATACCATCAGCGAGACAAGCATTTAAACGATCTATAAGATTATACGCAGATCCAGATGACAATAGTGCGTTTTGGAGATTGTCATCGATAAGCTGAATGTACCAGAGCTAATGTATAATTAACTTATGATACTACATACTTCATGTTTTTCCCCTTTCATGATTGTAAACGTTACTCATATCTATTTGTTTGATGTGAATTCCAGTATTAAAAATTTCATCAGTTGGATTTTTAATCAATATTATTCTTTAATTTGTGTCCCATAATACGGGATGTTGTTTCCAAGCGAATGATGTTATAAACAAAATAACTATTTTCCTATGCGCTCGAGTAAAGTAGATAATGATTTAAACTTAAAATTGGCAAAAAGCACTTGGAGGGGTATGAACAGTTTTTAACAATATACGAGGATTTACACAATATGTCTTTATCAAGCCCTTAATATTTATAGCTAAATCCTAGCTAGCTATAAAACCAGGTTTAATCCACCATTTTCTACATAAGGAAATGCCTGTACCAAGTCAAACTCTATATGACAAAAAGACAGAGAAGATACTAAAGGGGCATTGGTTAATCATTGATCCATTAAAAACAAGATAAGGATTTCAAATATCAAACAGAAACAATCAAAGATCTGCCATTAACACAAAATTTTCTAACCAACAAAAAGTATTAAGACAACATAATATTACAAATACTGGCGATTTTCTTACTTTGAACTGTCGTTCTAATACTGTGGTTTCATTTATTTTCGTGGGTACCAATTTTCTTGGATTGCGGAAAACTTGCCTTTTCGTGGATACGTGATTTCGTGGTTTTGTCAAAGTCTGCATACAACCTGATATAAATTTGTATTTCTTTGAAAATTGTAATTCGTGGTTCACATGTACCAACGAAACCCACGAAAATTGGTATCCAACGAATAATAATGATTTCACAGTATATGAAAAGTTTTATTACAAAAAGGACAAAATTTTTTTTTTAAATTGATAAATGATATCAGGTCAAATTTGCCAAAGGATTTTGGAGCCTTAGTTTCATCAGAAGCGGGATCGAACCAGTGCTAGCATATTAAACTATCAAAATATAAATTAAGGGTTTTCGAAGTGATTTTCTGGATTTGACTTAATTTGGAACACACACTCAAAACCATTTAATTAAAATCCATTAATACACAACTGCTTTATGAAAAACATGTATATGACACAACGAGTCCTTAAAAATGCAAATATTAAACCAAGATGTGGAAAACTTGCCAGTAAGACAATCATCCACAACAGATCAAATAAGTGTCGAAGTGAGCAACTATATGTTGGCCTTCAACAGTGAGCAAATCGCATACTATATTGTAAGCTTTTAAAGTTCCCCGACATGACCAAATGTAAAAATATTAAAACGACAAAATTAAACGGCCTATCTTATTTAACAACAACCAAGGATAACCACTGAATAACAGGCTCCTGCTTCGGCACAGACAGAAACAAAGTGGCAGAGTTTAAGAAGTTTGTAAGCCCTCAACACTCCCAATAACAGGGGATAGTGATGTTGGAACATAACATAAGAACAAACTGAACAATTCAGTTGGAAATGACCTGACTCATCAGATTGGCACGATGCACAAATACAATCTTAACATTATTAGCAGTTACTTAAAGATATTTCAAATTTAAAGTCAAAGACAACTAATAAATGAATCATGTTCTCCATTCCACACCTAAGTTGCAGTCGATTGCCGGTTCATCGGCATATTCTACAAAGGAATTGTCTATAAGATTGGCTAACATTCTGTCTGAAGTGAAAGAGGGTCTTCAGAAATACTATGAAATTGTTTACTCACGTAGTCGTATTAACCATATGTGGATGTTTAATTTTGTTAACAGTAAAACAGAAAGGTAAAAAATGCTACACAGAGGAACAATTAGTGATCAGTATGCTGGAGTTTCTAATTGACAACATATTTGTTGAATATGGAGGTAGACTTTTTCAACAAATTGTCGGCATTCTTATGGGAACGAACTGTGCACCTCTCTTTGCCGCACTCTTCTTATTTGCATATGAGTTGGAATTCCTTCAGACACTTGTCAAAAACAAGAAGATCAAAAAGGCCAGATCCTTTAATTTTACATTCAGATATATTGATGATGTTTTTTCTATTAACAATCTAAACCTTTCTGATTGGGTTCCATTAATATATCCTCCAGAACTAGAAGTTAAAGAAACAACAGACAGTGCTTCCTCCGCCTAATTTTTAGACTTATAACTCGAATTTGACATAAGCGGTCGTCTCATTACCACAAACTATGACAAACGAGATGATTTTAATTTTGAAATGATCAATTCCCCCAACCTTAGTAGCAATATACCAACTTCACCTGCACATGGGATATACATTTCCTAACTCATTCGGTACTAAATAGTTTGCAGTGCGTCTCAGACTTTATAAAACATCACCAGTGTCTGAGCAGAAAGTTGATGAACAAGGGTTATGTCAAAGAACGTCTCGTCCTTTTTCTAAAACAAGTTCAACGGAAGATACCAAGACCTGTTGGTAAATATTCCGTACCAACTTCACAAATAATACATGATGGTCTTGAAGTTTAGATTATAGATACTGACGTTGTTTATCATCTTAATTATGTGTTGCAGTGTTCTTTTATTTGTCTTTGTAAATTATTGACCTTTACTGTTTAGTCCATTTTTGGTAAAAATCCTTTTGGCGTGGCTCGGTACTTATACATCCCGCCATTGTGTTATTTTGTTATTGTGCTGTGGTCATTTTTTGTAGTCTTGTCTTTCATTTTTACTTATGAGCTTTGTTTTTATGCCATTTTGTTTGACATATTTGTTTGTTTTTACAGTGAGTAAGATTATAACCCAATGTTGACTGCTGTACCACTATTTTTGACATTTTTACCTTTTTTGTTTTGTTCACACATTGTTGTCAATAAAATTAGACGGTCATACAAGTGAGAGGTTTAGCTAGCTATAAAACCAGGTTTAATCCACAATTTTCTACATAATGAAATGCATGTACCAAGTCAGGAATATGACAGTTGTTTACAAATCGTTTGATTTGCTTGATCTTTTGATTTTGTCATTTGATACTAATTTGCGTTCCAGGGGCCTGTGCCGGTAGAATATAATCGCCTTTGTAACAGTATGTAAGCATTAAAAGACCGCCTTTTAATGAATTGAAAACTTTTTTTCTTTTAGAAAATATATGAAATATTAGCAATTTCATGTTATTATGTTGTTTAACAAGCAAATCCAGAAATTGTTCCATATTTTTCATGTCGGGGCCTTTTCTGGCCGACTATACGGTATGGGTTTTTCTCATTGTTTAAGGCCGTACGGTTGCCTATAATTGCTTACATCCATTTTATTTGAACTTTAGTGGATAGTTGTCTCATTGGCAATCATACCACATCTTTTTTTTTTTATTATAATCAATCAGTCTTTAAACTGAAGAGAGTATACACGTTTTTAGAATGTTGAGACACCTCATCTTAAAATTTTTTATAACTTTTTATGTTCATTTGCCAGCACTGATTGGTGGGCACAGTTGTTGGTGGGTGTAGTCTCCAAGGGTAACACAAGCTGAGTAGTCTGTCCTCCGGTACTTATCAAATTTAAAATGCTTTATTTAAAGACTACCCTTTTAAGGTCCCTTTTAGTCATATTTCACTCCACATACTGATGTATCTATATATTTTAGATTTTCAAATATCTTAATTTGAGCATTCCCGATGAAAACAAAATCCAGAAAAGCACTTCAAATGCACCAGATTTATTAAGTTTTATTTCAGTCTTAATTCATTAACGTGTAAGCTCAGCGACTCTTTTCACAAAAAATCTTAAAGTTATACTGAAATGTGTATGACTTACGAGTATTTTTACTCTTAAGAATTTTTTTGTGAAAAGAGCTGCAGGATTGTAAGCTTGAATGATTTGTATTTACAAAACACATTTTGCATATGTTCATTTGTAGAAAATTCTGATACCACAATATTGGGGATCGCGTTAGACCTTTTAATACCCAACAACTTTCCCCAACTTTGTGATTATTTAATCAAATATGATTGTCAAAACATATATTCAATGACGTAAATTACAAAGATGAAGTAAAGGTTTTTTGATTGTTTGGGCGAAAACAAAACCAAACTGCTATTGAGTGCACCAATTATCTCATTTAACAATGATTACGGATTATTTTTTCATAAAGTCTTCAAATGCTATCCTCTGATTAAATGTGACTAACTACATGATAAAGTTTTATAAGCTTTCTGAAAACCATTTTTTTCTAAAATATCACCTTCGATTGCTAGAAAATTTTAAAAGGTTACACTAATTGAAACAAAGTCATCATGACATTAGCTGAGGTGGCATGATATATTCAAAAGGAGGTGGGACATTATTTGGATCAATCTGTAGTAGGGACGGGTCACTTTTATATGTTTTGTCCTGATTTTGATTGACTATTTGATCAGTATTTGTTGGTGGAGCTACACAATCCTCCTTTTGTTTTTCTTCGAATTCACTGTAATCTGGAGGTGGACTTCTTTGCTCTATATGGTGCTGTAATGGAGGTAGATTTTTGTAAGGATTTGAAATTTTAGATTCAGATTTTGATGTGTTTTTCGTTTCAGATCCGTTAGATACATTGTCTGTTCCCTTCACTTGACGTGCATCTATGGCTTTTTGAAGGAGGTTTCTCTTTTGTTGGCGCTTCCATGTGTCGATTATATATTCTGGTTTGATTTTTGGTTGCCGTGCTGTTATGACAATTTGACTTGGGAATGTTTTCCTTTCAGGTGGTTGCTGCTGAAAATGCGTAGTTGTTGGAAAAGTCTTCGTTGGTTTAGTACTGGTTTTCTGTTTACAACAACCACCGAAGAAAATAATGAGAATAAAAATACCAACACCTAGACCAATTTTCCAACCATTGCTACCCTCAGATGAATCTTGTTCCGTCTGCACATCTGAAAGTACGCAAAACGCTGAGTAATTGTTTGGTAATTTTGTACATAAATAGTTATATTGTGCTTCAAAATATTTTTTAAGCAATAACAAATTTAAATGTGAACCGACAACATCATGATGGTACATCTTATTTTCAATTCATGCCTAGCTGTA